GTTGGTGAACGGCTGGACAGCAGGGTGCGATGGTGTGGATGGCGCCAGTCACCATAAACACGGGGCCCTTTGAAACGGCCACCCCAAAGCTGGGATCCAAGGCACACATTTAATGGGAAGCAATTTAAAACTCACTCGGTCCCATCCTCACTGTAAGTCTCCCCCTCACAGAATCCTTGCCCCATCTGACCTCTGTCTAACCAACCACATTCAGGGGCCCCCCAGCCCCTCCCTCTCTCTGAACCCATCCCTGCCCCTCTGCCGGGGGCGGCCAGCCCGGCTTCTCTTCCGTGGAACTGCCACCCTCCCCCTCGCTACCCTCTCCCTTGGCCCACGCAGGTCCCAGCCTGGGGGCAGCACAGGCTCAGCCAGTCTGGCCAGGCCGGGCAGTCAGGCCTCTGGCACAACCAGGCCTGTCATTAGCCCATCCCGAGCCAGTGGGGAGGACGGCCGCCGGTGTGGGCTGCCAGGCTGAAGGCCGAGGGCCACGCGCTCAGCTTGGGGCTGGGCCTCCACTTCCGAGCCCAGGAACTGTGGCTTTCTGGGGCCTGTCCTCTGGGCCCACCGGACCCCTGTCAGGGCGGCCAGAAGAATCCCAGGGGGCCGAATGGGCTCATCTCCTGGGCCCCAGCTCTGTCTTCACTGCACCTTCCAGAGCCTGGGAAGGAGGCCTTGTCATCCTCCTTACCCAGATGAGGAAATCAGCTGAGAGAGTTCAAGGCTGTTGCCCAATGTCACAGAATGGGTCGTGGCAGAGTTGGGACGCGACCCAGGGAGGGCTGGGTTTATTTCAGAGGACAGCCACAAAGGGGCCTCCACATCTTCTCCCAGATTTGGAGCGTGCCAGCCCCGGGCCCAGCCCTCCCAGCCAAGGTGGAGCCACCCTGGGCAAATCCCAGTGGCTTCCAGAGCCACACAGGAGGCGGCTGGTCCGCACTGGCCAGGGCTGGAGGTGACCGCCTGTTGCTGGAAGCCTCCTGGAGCTCCTACCCTGGAACAATGCAGGGAGATGCTCTGAAGGGACCCTTGGTGACACAATGTGTGTAGTCACCAAGGACTGTGACATCCTGTTGCTGATTATTTACGGAAATTTAAACATCTTAGAACTTAATGGCATTGTCTCTGCTTAAAAAAGACAGGATCTTAACTTGAGGCTGTGGGCTGAGAAGTTTGTGAACTTCTGCAGAAATAAATGGTTTTCAAAGAATATATTTTATTTATTTATTTGACAGAGAGAGAGAAAGAGCATGAGCCAGGGCCAGAAGCAGATTCCTTGTTGAGCAGGGACCCCGATGTGGGGCTCGATCCCAGAACCCAGGACCATGACCCGAGCCAAAGGCAGAAGCTTCACTGACTGAGCCACCCAGGCGCCCCAGAAATAAATAGTTTTGGACCAACTTTCAGCTAGACTAATTTTTGAGCTGAGAGTGAGGCTGTTTCCTTGTAGTCTTCAAAAAAAAAAAAAATCTGCTTGATTTTATCAGGATCAGAATGTTATGTTAGGTGTGCGTGGAGGGGGGATGTGGGGGAATAGTTCTGAGCTGACACCAGCTCTCCTGGTCTTCGTGTCCTTGTTCCCAGGAAATAAGGAGGAAAGTTCCCAGAACCCGGGTCTGTTTGGCCCAAGGAGAATCTTCTGGACGTCTGGGTAGGAGTCCAGCAGGGTGGTCCCTAGAAGGACACAGGCTCTAAGCTCAGAAGACAGTGGAATGGCTAGGTTTGGTTGGGAGATGGTAGCTGTCCTTTTCCTAGGGATGCCGGGGGAGCGGGCACAGGGAACTAAGTGTGTGCATGGGGGTGGGGCCGGAGTTGTGATTCTGGGCTTGACTGAGGTCCTAGGGCTGTGGGGAGGAGACGTCTAAGAAGTCCCAGCTCCCTCATGTGAGTGGGACCAGAGCCCGGGGGTGGCTCCTTCCTCCTCTTTGGTACTGCACTTGCCAGTTGACAAGGCTTTTTCACACCCTCATCTCATGCGACAGGTGTCTTCGATAGGGGAGGAGCGCCAATGCCCTCATTTGACAAAAAGGGGAAGTTGAGGCTGAGAAGGAAACCGGCCTCTCCACGGTCCCATGGTTGGCTAGATGCTACTGAGCTGGGCAGGGATGGGTGAACTGATCTGGGGAAGAGGGTTGTCCTGGAAAAAACCGGCATCATAATACAATTCTATCAGCATAAAATTAGACAGTGAGTATTGGGAGGAAGAAAAAGGAAGGAAGTGCCAGCCCTCACCTCCTTACCTTAGAAGCAAAGAGGGTGGGTGGCAGACCCATTAGATGTCACAGCAGAACGTTGTTCAAGCTGTTAGGAGCAGCAGGCTCCGGCAGCGAGAGCCAGAGCCAGAGCCAGAGCCAGAGCCAGAGCCAGAGCCAGAGCACGTGCAGGAAAAGTGTCTGGTTTCTCCTGGTGTTTTTCCTGCAACAGATGGGTGGGACCCTGCCAGGAGCTCCTGGCGTAAGTCAAGCCTCCACAAATATTTCTCCAGCTCCACTCATGTGCAGAGCTGCTCCCGGGGACCTCCTGTTCCTTCTGCATACCTGGGCCCACAGCCCCATCCAGACTCCCCATAGACCTCCCCTGCTCCGGGCCTGCCCTTCACCTGGGGCCCCCCCCTGCACCTGCCCTTCCCCTGTGCTCAGCCCCTCCCCCGCCTGTGATGTGCTTGGCTGAACTGGGCAGGGAAGGAAAGCTTCTTAGTCACTTCTTTGAGCCACAGATGGAAAGTTCTAGGGCCTATGTGCCCCCCACCCCCACTCCTATTTTTCCAAATGCCAGTTGGCTGTGTCGTAAGAAAACAAGGGCAGGAAGTTGGCAGGGGCAGGGGTAGGCCGGGGGTCTGGTCGTCTGGGCAACCCACTTCTGGACTCAGAAAGCTTACTGTAGGGCTGGGACCATGGATGAGGGAGCCCTGGGTTAGGAGGCTCAAGCCCTCAGCCTTCTCTGGGCCTCAGTTTACCCATCTGTGCAAAGGCTGTCAGGAGTCCCTGCCCTACTTACTTTCGATGAGGTCATCACAGGAAAACACTTATTGTCAATCTGGAAGGGTACTTATCTCTGTTGTTCAGCCCGCGGGCATCTGCTGTTCCTCCGAGCCTTGTAAGGAAAACCTGGGAGGTGTGGTGCCAGCAGAAACCATCCGTGTGTGTGTGTGTGTGTGTGTGTGTGTGTGTGTGTGTATGGGGGAGGGGGGAGGAATGCAGGGCAGGGGAGGGGGGCATTTGGGAACCAGGAGAGAGCCTCCTGCCTGAGTGTTGCGAGCATTCACTGAGCACCCCTGCTTCTGTCCTCCGGGATCCCCCAGCCTCATGGAGGGGATGGCTGTTTGTCTCGCCAGCCACAACCCAAGACCTCAACTTCCCCACCGCATTGTCCCAGCCAACCCTGTGATTTGTCACGCCATCCACACGGGATCGCAAAGGCCTCCTGTGTGCCCGGGGCTCACAGATGACTCCAACCGAAATCACGCGCACTTGCTGATTCTCCCGTAGGAAGCTGGGGGACATGGGGCCACCCCAGGGTGCCGGTCTTGGTGCTGGACGGTGCTGGGAGCTCAGGGTTGCCTTGAAGCCATGTCGGTGGTGACCATGTGGAGGGTGAGGGGTTCCCTTGATCTATCCGGGATGAGTGAGGCCCAACCACTGTCCCCCGTAAAAGACCCCTGCAAACCCTGCTCTGCTTTCTTTCACCTCCGTTTGGTTTCCAGAGACATCGTTCTAAGGTGTGTGGACCCCTCTCTGCCTGGCAGCCCTTGCCCTAGCAACTCGTGGTGCGCTCCGTGATATTCGAGCTCCGTGATATTCGATATTCGATATTCAGGGCAGAGGTTTCTAGCCCTTTCTCTCGAGGCCCCTCCCCCATAACCCCAGGGTCTGGTCAGACTGGATTCCTCCGGGTTCCTAGAACCAGCTGCATTTCCCCAGGCTCCCGTACCTTTGCCCTCCATATTGCTTCTCCCCAAATGTCCTCCTTCACCCAGACTAACTGTCTTGCACAACTCCCAGGGGCCCCATTCGTGGTGATTCCCGCCTCTAGCTCATAACCTGAGACTGTAGCCACCCCTTCTCCCCGCTTCCCTGGAGTTGTGCCCAGCAGCCCCCCCCCCCCCGCCCCACCGAAGCCCCCTCCCCAGTGCCCCACCTCCACCCAGTTTCTGTTCTTCCTCCGCTTCCAGGTCTCAAGGGACTTTGCCCCCACCCTGGCTTTATCTGACCACTGTTCTGTGTGTCTTCCCATAGTAAACAGGGCCTGGCCAGTGGCTCTAGGTGACCTTCCCCACTCAGTTCTATCAAGCGGCTTCAACCCTGGGGGGAACTGGCTGAAACTCTCCTGGTTGGGGAAAGTTTTCTTTTCCGCCCGAAGACTTCCTCTTCTGGCAGGGCTGGGAAACCTGGTACTGGGAAGGGAGGGGACAGCAGGTGACAGATCCAGGAGTCCTGGCCCCCCAGCTCCTTGTTCTCCAAACCACCCTCATGAGGCCCCCACGGAAATCCCCCAGGAAGCAAGGGTGGGAATGGTGAGCCACGCCATGGGGCCGGCGGGGATGGTGATAAGGACAGGACTGCAGGAATCAAGGTGGGGCCACTCTCTGACATTCCCCGGGCGTCATCTCAGACCCTCTCCCTGACCATCCCACCCTGTCTGCCCACCCAGGGCTGGAATGAGGGAGCGCTGAGGTGTAGGGATCCTGGTCTTCAGGACCCCAACCCTGGCTGGGGCTGGCTGCCCCATGCGTCCAGGTGCCTTCGAGCTGTGACTCAGTCAGGGTCTGTCTCCAGGCTGACCTCAGCGACGGGCCCGGGGGCAGGGGGAGAGGGCAGTTTTCCCTGAGACTGGCTCTCCAGGATCCTGACTCAGGGGCCCAGGGGCTGAGGCCTTGAAGTGCCTTCAAGTTGGCCCAGGTTCAGGAATCCAGAGAAACTGGTCGGGGGTGGGGGGGGGGGGGGGGGGGGGGGCAGGTCCCGGGACTGAAACCCCTCCCTCTGCTCCCGCCCCCACTGCAGAGCCATATAACCGCTCAGCTCCGCCACGCCAGAATCTGAGCGCCAGAGCCTGCCGCTGCGAGGAACAACTGGTTGCTTGCTTCTAGAAGACGGGGGAGCTGGGGAGCTGATCCGAGGCTCCGAGTGAAAGTCGTCCCTGCGGACACCGAGGGTCTGCCCTCCGCGCGCTTGGATTCCTACAGCCCCCCAGGCCCTAGAGCCCCGCCCCCACAGGCGCCGAGCCATGGCCTCGATGGGGCTGCAGGTGATGGGCATCGCGCTGGCCGTGCTGGGCTGGCTGGGTGCTATCCTGAGCTGCGCGCTGCCCATGTGGCGGGTGACGGCCTTCATCGGCAGCAACATCGTCACGTCCCAGACCATCTGGGAGGGCCTGTGGATGAACTGCGTGGTGCAGAGCACCGGCCAGATGCAGTGCAAGGTGTACGACTCGCTGCTGGCGCTGCCCCAGGACCTGCAGGCGGCCCGCGCCCTCATGGTCGTGTCCATCCTGCTGGCCGTGCTGGGCGTGCTGCTGTCCGTGGTGGGGGGCAAGTGCACCAACTGCGTGGAGGACGAGAGTGCCAAGGCCAAGACCATGATCGTGGCGGGCGTGGTGTTCCTGCTGGCCGGCCTGCTGGTCTTGGTGCCGGCGTCCTGGACGGCCAACACCATCATCCGGGACTTCTACAACCCGCTGGTGGCCTCGGGCCAGAAGCGGGAGATGGGCGCCTCTCTCTACATCGGCTGGGCCGCCTCAGGGCTGCTGCTGCTGGGGGGGGCCCTCCTTTGCTGCAACTGCCCCCCGCGCGCTGACAAGCCCTACTCGGCCAAGTACTCCGCCGCCCGCTCCGCCCCAGCCAGCAACTACGTGTAAGGTGCCCGCTACTCAGCACTGTCCCGCCAGCTTTGTCCCTCCGGGACTGAAGGTGCGGCCTGAGCCCAGGACGGGGCTGCAGGCGGCCTGGGGTTGGGCAGGCGGGGGACTGAGCCAGGCCACCGGCCGGCAACAACTCAACCCGCTCTGGCCCCCTGGGACACCGAACCCAAGCCGCCCCCCCCATGCCAGCAAGGATGGACAGAAAGACTCTGCACCTCCCTCCGCTAAAGGGCCTGTGGACATGGGAGAGGAGGCGGGAAGTCCCAGGGTGTGGCGGGCTGGGGGGAGCTGACTCCTGCTGGTCAGGACAGCTCAGCCCTGAATTCGCTTGGGCTCTGCCTCCGAGTGGGTGCCCTGCCCATTCCTGTGTTGTCCAGGAGAACAGCTCGGGCCTCGCTCAGCCACCTGACTGTGGAGCCAGAGGTGACACAGAGTTGACAGACGGGTTTGGAGGGGAGGGTTGAAGGTGCTGCAAACTGGTTTGGGTAGTGGTGGGGAGGAGGCCATGGAGGCTGCCCAGGCGGCCCACACCCCTTCCTGTCCCCACCCGATGGCCTCAGGGCTCTGCCTCAGCAGCCCCCGCAGCAGGACCCCAGGACTCTTCTGACTTGCGACATCTGCCACTGCTGCCAAGGTCCCTGGACATCCTGGGGACAGCCAGGAAGGGGGGATGGTCTCTTTCTGGCCTGCACTCCCAGGAAGTCCTGGGCCTTTTTCCTGCCTCCTCTGTGGTTTCTGTTTTGTAACTGAAGGAGGTCTATTTGTCATGGTCATTACTGTTATTTTCTACAATAAATGGGAACCGTGCACAGGAAGACCATACGGTTTCTGATTTCAGCCCTGAAGGTGGGCAGGGGCGAGGTCAGCAAGGAGCAGGACCACTGTGATGTGGCTGCAACAAGAACGCTTAAACTGGTTTTGAGGAATTGGGACAAATCAGAGCTGGCCCTCAGCTCTGGAGTGACCTTGCTCAAAGCCCTTCATTTGTTAGAAGGTAAAGCCATACGTAGGAGACACAACTGTGTGCCCAGCACCGTGGTGAAGGGTTGGGGACCCCAGGGGAGTGGGCCACCTGCCCTCTCCCCTTCTTTGTCCCTGCTTTGTCTGGGAAGCCAGGCTGGTCCGCTCGCCCTCCAGGTCCCCTGTCCTGGCCTTGGCCGGGGCTGTCCCTGTTGTGGGTCTGGAATGTCCTTTCCCCTTTCCCCAGCCCTCTGAATCCTGCTCATTCTGAAGGCCCGGCTCCAAGGCTCCTTCCTAATGAGCCTCTAAGACACACCGGGCTTCCTGACTCTCTAAAAAGTCAAGATGAAGAACGGGAGTCCTGGATACGTGAAAGTATTCAGTCAAGGCCAGGGGCATGAGCACGGGTCTCCTGGTCCTTCAGTTAGGGTGGGAGGACCCGCCATGATGGCAGGAGTCACAAGGTCACATCTGCGATCCCATCATGCCTGGCTCAGGGAAGGCTTGGGGTGGGAGCCCCCTCTGTTCCGTCTCTTTTCACTTATGTCCTTCTCAGGGACACATGTCACCTTCTTGGGGGAGAGAATCAGCCAGAGTCCTGGGGCCTTCTGGGACTCATTTAATAGGCAGAACTCCCTGAGGGGCAAGCTGGGCACAGGGACCTCATTTTATAGATGAAGCAGAGGCCCAAGGATGGGCACGGCTGAGGGCACGTGGAGGGTCAGAGGTCAGTGGGGGGCTGAGGACAGGGCCTGACTCCCTCCATCTGGGCCGCCTCCTGCTTTTGGTACAGGTAGACGATGCCGGAGATGAAGCCATCATTGTCAGGAGTTCCAGGCCCCACCTCAAGCTCGGAGGTGGCCAGTTCCCACCGGTCCACAGGCCAGGCCACGAGGCGTTGCCACACCCCAGCCCGCTCCAGCCCGTCCAGCGTGGCCTCCAGTGCCTCCTTGTAGCGCAGGTTGGATGGGTTAGTTCTGGTAGTCAGACACACCAGCCCCCCTGGGGAGGACGGGGTGGGGGAAGGTGAGTGGGGGAGGGGGCTCCTGCCCCTCTGCGATAGATGGGCTCGAGCCCCACCCCTTCCCCATGTTTGTCCCTTTCTGCTCCTGTCCTCAAGGGTGTCCTCAGGGGCATATATCCTCCCAGCTTTGTCCCCCGGCCAGCCTTTCTCCACCTCCATGCCTTTGGTGCTCACTGTTCCTGCCCCCAGGGGTATCCCTCTGCTCCCTCAGCCTCACAGCCTTCTATGTGCCCATCCAGGCCCCAGTGTCCTTTACCCTGGAAATTCTTGGCTTAATCCCCTGGACAGGGTGACTCCAACCTCACTGCTCACCCAGCCCCTCTGCGGGAGGATGTGGAAGTGTCTGGAAGCACAGGAAGGAAGCACTCTGGGCCTCGGGCAAGTCCCCTCACCTCTCTAGGCCTGTATTCCCAGCTTACAGAGTGGGGCTGATTCCCGAGGGTCACAGGAAGGACTGCGGAGTCATCAAGCCCCGGCTCAATGAATGAATGAATGACCTATCCCTTCAGGTCTTCTCCAGGCACCCATAGCATGCCCAGTGCAGGCTCAGATGGTGTCTGGTGGGCTTCCTGGAGGAAGGGGTGAGGAGGAGCAGGGCCTTGCAGGGTGGGTGATGGGGCTCCATGAGAGGAAAGGCTCCAATGCAGGGGAGCCTGTGCCATGTGGACAGAAAGGGCTCCAGCCAGCTGAGGGGCCTGATGAGCACGGGCTGGGCTGGTTCCGAGGGGAGCTTCCTATTCTCGCAAGCCCCATCACTACCTCTCTCTCTGACCCCTCTCAAGACCCTGCTTCTGTCAGCCTCCACAGTTCCCTGAGGCCGAAGCCTGCCCAGACCTGCCCAGGCTTAGCCAGGGGCCCTGCTGGGCCCAGCGAGGCTCTGTCATTCCCCCTTCTGCCGGTGACTTCCCTGTGGCTGTCTTCCTGACTTCCGGTTTCTGCCTGTGGCCGCGTTCCCGTGTGGGCCGCCCTCACTGCCCCCTCCCCCCGTCTCTGACTCCTCAGAGCGTGGGCCCACCGGTGGCCTGGCCCTCTTCCCGCCCACCGCCATCCTGTGGGGGCAGGGCGTCTGCCACTGTTTGAATGTGAGGAGACAGAGCCAGAGAGGACAGCAGAGTTGTCCCACGGATAAGAGGCCAGCGGGCTCCCCGTCTGCCCTGCCTGTTGGCCTGGGTCTGTTGCTGGTGGCTGCTGGAGGCTGGGATGCAAGGCTAGGCCATGGGACCCCGCTTGGCCCAAGAGGCTCTGAGGCTGGCTGGCTGTTGCGTGGCAAGGGGGAAAGTGTGTGCCTGGGGTTGGATGAGCTGCTCCTCACCTGGCTTGGTAACTCGCAGAAGCTCAGGTATGGCACTGCAGGGTACCTGGCCGTCACTGAGGGCCCCCACTATCAGCACCGCATCGAAAGTCCCTATGCAGAACGGGGAGAGGCGTTGTGGGGGTGTGTCTTTGTCACGGCCTCGTGATACCCATCAGGAGGGACTGGGCCTGCCCCTTGTGTCGGGAGTATCTGGCAGGTGGGGCCCTATCCTGGGCTGAGGTCTGATCATGGGGTGGAGGGCTCAGAGAAGGGCTTAGTGAGGCTCTGGGGGGGCTTAGTGTGGGATGGGGGGTGTGGAGGGGGACAGAGGCTGGCCAAGAGAAAGGGGCATTGGCAAGGTGTCTGGGTGGGAGGGGAAGTACCTTCAGAACTGGGCAGAGGCTCTTGGCCCAGGATGCAGAGACTGAGGTGCTGGTAGAAGCCACGGGCTCGGGCCTGGTCCAGCATCTCTGGGCTCCCATCCACTCCATGCAGCTGGAGGAAGCCCCGAGCGTGCAGCTGAGATTGGGGGTGGCGGGTGGGGGACTCAGTCACAGTTCAGACCTGCCATCTCCCAACTGGGTCTCTCATATACCCTGGGTCTCTGAACCCAGGGAGGGCAGTGCACCCTGCCGTAAATGCAGTCCGAGTGTTTGGGACCCGTGAGTCAGACGGGAGGGTGGGTCGGGGGGCAGAGTTCTGGGGCCAGGGGTGAAAGGAAGTCCGAACAAGTGGGGAGCTGAAGAGAGGGCAGGGGACCCGGGAAGGCCTCACCTCGGCAGCCACCAGGCCGGTGCCACAGGCCACATCGAGGATCCGGGCAGCGTGAGGCGGGCCTGGAAGGGCTTGGGTAAGGCAGTCCACTGCGAAGCGTGGGGCACGATACCGCAGGGCAGCGACGTCCTGGGGACAGAGCGCTGAGAGCCGACCGGCACCCAGTGTCCCCCTGTTTGGGGGACCTCCGTGCAGGGTTGTCTAGGAGTCAGCCAGGCCAAGCTGTGTGTGAGAGTGTGTGTGTGTGTGTGTGTGTGTGTGTGTGCGTGCACGCATGCATGCGTGTGTACGTGTGTTTGCGTGCGCTGGGCTCACCAGGGCTCTAGCCCTGCAGGGATTCCAGCACGAGATGCTTTTCCTCTGCCAGAATGAGAGAGTCGGCCCCCAGCCCAACGCTGGGAATGGCTCTGTGGGCCAAGGCAGTGCTCTCTTCCTAGTCCATAGTGACCCCTCAAGGGGCACCTCCTCCAGGCAGTCAGCTGTTCTGCCCAGGCTGCCGTCCCAGGGTGGGGAGGTCTTGGTTCCTGATCTCTAGGGCCTGCCAATGTGGAGCCACGGGACTGGCCCGAGGGTAGGACTGTGTGGCTGAGCCGAAGAGGGGCTGGTCCTCGAAGGGGGCAGGTCTGCAGGGGCTCACCTCGTTCTCACAAGCCACCCGGGGTGGGGGGCGGGGGTGAGGCCAACCGTCCCCACTTTACAGATAGGAAAGTTGAGGCTGGGCGAGCACGAGAGGAGGAGGGAAGCCGGGCGGGTTTACCTGGTCGTAGTCCACAGCCCAGCGCCCATAGAAGTGCAGCTTGCGGCCCAGGTCGGTGATGCCGTGCAGGGCCCCCACCCGGGCCCGCGCCTCGGACAGGCTCCCGCCCTGCTCCTGAGCCATGTTCCTGCGGGGACGCAGCCTGGGTACCCCGGGCCGCCGCGGTCTCCCCCAGGCCCGCCCCTCCCCCCGCCGGGCCCTTGCACAGGCGGTGACAGCACGCGCGGAGCGAGCCTGCACAGGAGGGCTTCGGGGCTGGCGGGAAGGTGGTCCCCGCCCAGCGGGAGGGAGGACCCGCCCCCACTCCCCATCCCTGCAGCGGCGAGCCGGATGCCAGCCCCGGGGGGACCTAAAGAGGTCGGGGGTCGGAACTCACCTCCAGTCCCCCCAGCGCGCGGTGCTCAGCGCGCCGGAACTCCGGGCGGGGCCTGTACGTCGAGCCTGGCCCCGCCCCCACCGCCCTCGCGGATTGGCTGTCCGCTCTCAGAAAGTACCCAATCAAAGGAAAGCGCTGGCCGCCGCCCCTCCACCATCAGCCAATGAGCTCAAAGTTCTTGGCCTTCCTCTAGCCTGGGAGGCTCTGGGCTCCTCCGAGGCATTGTCAGGGTTTCCCGGTGCAGGAGCATCTCCGCCCCCGGCTCTCGACGTCCTATGCGTGCTTTTATGTTTAGGAAGTGGGAGCCTTTGAAGTCTTATGGGCAAGAGGGGGACCAGCCTTCATTCTTAGAACGGTCACCTCGGTCTGGACAGCGCCATCCAGCAGAACCTTCTCTGGCCGCGGAAATGTTTCGTCCCAGGCTGCTGGATACAGTAGCCACTAGCTGCAGTGACCGTCTGAAATGTGGCAGGTGCTACTGAGGAGCTGAATCTTAAGTTGCATTTTGTTTCTATAATTTAAATAGCCATCTGTGGACAGGGACCTCCGTATGGGACAGCGCCGGGATCCTTGCTACGGGTCCCAAGACTTGCAACCTCGATGTCAGCATCTTTAGCTGAGGTTCCTCCTGGGGACCCCCTTAGGGGAACTTGTAAGACATGCAAATCCCGGAGCCCCTCCCCAGACGGAGTGAATCAGAATCAGATTGCTAGGCGGGTAGGGACGCCCCAGAATCCCTCTTTAAACAGACTGTCCGCGTGCTCGCTTCCGCAGCACATATACTAAACAGACTGTCCGGGTGATTTCTGTGCGGATCGCTAGTTGCAGAACCACTAGGCCTAGAGGACCCTTGGGGATCGAGATTCGGGCAGGAGGAGTTTGGGAGCCTGTCGCAGTTGTCCAGGAAGGAGGTGATGACACCATGAGCTTGGAGAGCAGTCACGGCTGTGGAGAGAAACGGATGTAGTTCAGAGATGTTTTGGAGGTAGAAGGAGCAGGGCTTTGGTAATTATTGGGAGTGTGTGGCCTGGGGAGGGGAAGCAAGCCAGCAGGAGTTAAGCCTTTGGAAATCTTATGGGCAAGATGGTGCCCAATCTTTGGGCCGATGACAGCGCCGTTCATAGCAAGGGAAGCTGGGGAGGAGGACCAGTTTGGGGCAAAGAGAACACTCACAGTTTGAGAGTATTGAGTTTGAAGTGTCTGTGTGAAGATGTCTAGGAGGCTGTTTGATGCCAGGCTGGAGCTCAGGGGAGAGGGTCATGCCTCGGGGTCATGAGTATGGCCAGTGGTGATTGAGGCAGC